TGCAAACAAGCCTGAATGGTCCCCAGGACTATATACAACTGAAAACTCACACCCCAGAAGTGACTCAAACCCATACTGCCAGGAGCAACGCAACTGGTATGTACAGGGACGCCTTAATCCGCTTGACCATCACGACCGGACATAAGGAAGTGAGAGCCGAAGCTATTTGAACCACTTCCCCGCCGGCACTCGGATGGTAATCTTGGGCATAGCATTTTATCAAATCACCTCATTCTTTGGGGCACACGTGAGGAACACAAATGCAAACAAGCCTGAATGGTCCCCAGGACTATATACAACTGAAAACTCACACCCCAGAAGTGACTCGAACCCATACTGCCAGGAGCAACGCAACTGGTATGTACAGGGACGCCTTAATCCGCTTGACCATCACGACCGGACATAAGGAAGTGATAGCCGAAGCTAAAATGCTATGCCCAAGATTACCATCCGAGTGCCGGCGGGGAAGTGGTTCAAATAGCTTCGGCTATCACTTCCTTATGTCCGGTCGTGATGGTCAAGCGGATTGAGGCGTCCCTGTACATACGAGTTGCGTTGCTCCTGGCAGTATGGGTTCGAGTCACTTCTGGGGTGTGAGTTTTCAGTTATATAAATATAAATATAAATATATATATATATATATATATATATGTCGTACCTAGTAGCCAGAACACACTTCTCAGCCTACTATGCAAGGCCCGATTTGCCTAATAAGCCAAGTTTTCCTGAAATAATATATTTTCTCAAATTTTTTTCTTATGAAATGATAAAGCTACCCATTTCATTATGTATGAGGTCAATTTTTTTTATTGGAATTAAAATTAACGTAGATATATGACCGAACCTAACCAACCCTACCTAACCTATCTTTATAGGTTAGGTTAGGTTAGGTAGCAGAAAAAGTTAGGTTAGGTTATGTTAGGTAGGTTAGGTAGTCGAAAAACAATTAATTCATGAAAACTTGGCTTATTAGGCAAATCGGGCCTTGCATAGTAGGCCGAGAAGTGCGTTCTGGCTACTAGGTACGACATATATATATATATATATATATATATATATATATATATATATATATATATATATATATATATATATATATATATACAGTGGTACCTCGCATAACGATCGCCCCAAAAGACGAACATTTTGGGTAACGAACGGCCCGATCAGCGTCAAATCGTCCCGTATGACGAACGCTGGTTTGAGTAACGTCAACACCACACAGTGGGGTCGCGCTGCTTCTTGCACATTCCTAGACGCCTCCGACGATGCACATAAATTATGTTGTTCTTGCTTAAAGATGCTAATGATGCTGGGATATAAAAGGGTGACTGCTGAGATGTTGAAAAGCATTGACGTTTTTGTAGAAAAAAAGAAATGAAATGTCTTATATACAACAAATGTCAAAAAGGTTCGTTCGGTGTTGGCAGGTAAGCTGCTCCATGTTTCTTAAATAAAAAAAAATGAAAAATAAAAGAACTGTTGAAACAATTTGAAAAATGGACAAATGCCATAAAGGTTTGTTCAGTGTTTGTCGAGTAGGCTGCTCCATTATTGAGACGTAAGTGACAAATACAAAACAAATGGAACACATTTGAAACAAAGAAAGATTGTCATAATGGAGCAGCCAACCCAACAAACACTGAACGAACCTTTTGTAATAACGAATATGAAAGACAAGGGCTGCTGGCTGGGTTAGTACTGCGTGAGCAACCATTTGTGGCACACGTGCCTCTGGCTCTCAAACACCTGTCCCACACGGTGTTGAAAGACTGCGCTCAATCGGTGCAATTCAGACCCTATTGTTTGAAGAACATAAGGGTCATAACATTGGTGAAGCTAGGCGCAATAAGGGCTTAACACAACGGTCGGATGCCAGTGATACAGCACCTATGAGGATGATACAGCGAGCGTATCCAGGTGTAGCTCTGAGCCCCACCCTTGCCATCTCGAATTTATATAGATGATACATAGATGAATCGTTTTCTGCGTTCAGTGATGATGCATCTGATACAAGTAGCATAGATGAAGTGTTAGCGGCTTCCATGGTGGTGTTCATTGATATTTTCAAGAATACCTGAATCTCTTCCTGACTGATAGACACTCTTTGAGGCTAGCTGAATCTCTTCCTGACTGATGGACACTCTGAGGCTAGCTGAATCTCTTCCTGTGTGGGACCTTACAAAGCGATCTTTTCAAGACTACCTTACAAATTGAGCTTTTCCTATAATCGTTTCAATACTACCTTATGCTTTACAAGCTTGCCTACATACCACCTACAAGTACTAAAGCCAAGGGTGCACACGAGTGCATTATTTGCAAGAACACAGAACGATGAAACAGGAAATGAAAATCTATCTGTAGCTGGTGCAAGGAGAGCAAAGTCGCGCTGTGTACCATGGACTACTTCGTTGACTATTACGCACCTCCAAAGTAGAGTGTGTAATACAGTGTGTTACTGTGTAAATAGTATGTGAAACTGTACATATTGTAATTTTAGTGAATTTTTACCATGTAATATTGTGACAATAAACATTTATTGTGGACACATTACTGACACATGTATCACAGTTCCATGGAAAATTATGAACATTCTACTGTATACATATTGTAAAGGTCACAAATATGCATCATATACGATAAAAGAAACAAATAAAACCGCATTGGAAATGCATAGAAAAAATATTTGAAAATATATTTGTGGCAACACGCGGTGCTTGAATGGCCTGCGCGACTGTGTCTGGGAGCTTCACACACGGGCGACCAGGCCCTGATGACGTCACAGCGCACCTTGTCCACGCCCTCACAGCCAAAGTAAGTGGAATTTGGTAATTATTTTTACATAGACATGTTCAGGGAAGGTAATTTATCATTTTGCAAAGAAAAATTATATTTTGGGGAACATTTGATGTCATGCACTCTGGGGGAATTTCACAATAAACACAGTGCATCACACTGGTTACATGGGGGGACACTCGTTTTGTATGACGTCCGTTTCACATGACGAACATGGAACGGATTAAATTCGTTATGCGAGGTACCACTGTATATATATATATTAGTATATTTTGGTAGCAATCTTTCCTGTAGACATATATTATTAAATATGACCGAAAAAGTAAGATTAATAATTCTAACACGAATTTTTTCGATCTTTCTTACGTTTCTTTTCATTGTTGATGGTAATTCAAAGATCAATTCTCCAAAATTAATTTTTATTTCTAGTCTGACGCGACACTTGAACGCGTTTCGTAAAACTTATTACATTTTCAAAGACTTTAGTTTACACAAACACACACAACTTTAACTGAATGGAGCTTAAACATCTTTCGAGTTTTTATACCTACATTTGGGTGAAGTGACATGTTACAATAGTTTATGCAACTTACTAACTATTGTAACATGTCACTTCACCCAAATGTATTATAAAAACTCGAAAGATGTTTAAGCTCTATTCAGTTAAAGTTGTGTGTGTTTGTGTAAACTAAAGTCTTTGAAAATGTAATAAGTTTTACGAAACGCGCTCAAGTGTCGCGTCAGACTAGAAATAAAAATGAATTTTGGAGAATTAATCTTTGAATTACTATCAACAGTGAAAAGAAACGTAAGAAAGATCGAGAAAATTCGTGTTAGAATTATTAATCTTACTTTTTCGGTCATATTTAACACATACATACATACATACATATATATATATATATATATATATATATATATATATATATATATATATATATATATATATATATATATATATATATATATATATATTTATTTATTTATTTTTCCTACAGTGAATAGCTTCTTTTGCAGCTTCATATTGGTTCATCAAGGTAATCCTATATTGCTAAACAAGTGGTGATGGGTGCACATTTATACCAACCAAATGGACAAGCAAAATTTGTCAGCAACAGCCTTGAGGCGCCTTCAGTATGCAGATTCAGCAAAGATTCTGTATATTCAAGACTTTGAGAACATGAAGGGAAGAGAAACATATGGAGAGATAAAATAAGCCAAAACACACACTTCATCTGACAAAATGGAGGACATCTGCCCTCCAGTGAGGTTACTAGAGATGGTGGCCTCGTTGTACTGTGCAGGTAGTATATTGCAAACGTGAATGACTTTTTTTATGCACCATGATATTCAATATTAGCTTTGCTTCTCTCTGTGAAATATTCTAAGTATACTGCAGCTCAAAAGGATTCAATTCATGCTTCACTTACTATCAAACTTACACGGATGATTCCATTTAAATATATAATGGAATTAGGGCAATTTCTCCACAATGTAGCTGAGAGCACTGGGATATATATATTGAATTTTAAACATTACCAACAAAGATTAAGCTTTACCTGTACTGATTATAATTTGTTGTAAAAAATAATAATAAAAGTTTAATTTTATGTTTGTTGATCAGAATTTTTTTACAGAAAATTAATTCATTATTTTGCCCTGATCCCAACATATCATGCAATAGCATAAAATGCTTGATGCAAATTTGTTATAGTAGTCTACTGAATTGCGAAAGGTGTGGGAAGGTTTATAATACTGTATTAAATATACGTTCTGAAAGAGGAACAGAAGCAAGAGGCCCAGTATCTTCATATTTATGAAATACTGTACTGCACAGTAGTTGGATTATGAAATAATAAATTGAAAAACAAAAAATTCAGAATTGCAGTGATTTCTGTTGTGATATATATTTGTTTGGTAGAAATATTCTGCTAAAACAATTATTAGAATGGCTATTTTTGGAATTATTTAATAGCAATATTTGAACGGAATAATTGCTATCAAGCTTCCTTATGTGACTTCACGTATTTAATGGGATTACATTGCATTACATTAATTACAATGGATACATATAACTAATACATAGTATCGTATGGATACACAGTCAGCGGTTGTTAACGTAAATTTCAAATTATACTTCATGAAATTGTGACCCACATTTTACAACTCTACGCATCTACAATAGAGCGAATCTGCTGACTCACCTCCCATGCAGGTATTTAACTCTTGTTAGGAGATCTGCATGGCCCGAGGAATATTGTTCTATTACATCTTTTACATCATAGGGTTTTAGGGCCTCTTTGAACTTACGTCTGGCTAGGAAGTACCTAATCTGAAGAAGGGAGAGAGAGTACGACAGTTTAGGACAGGGGAAAAAAGGGTGTCCAGGACCTTTTAAGATTATTTTCCAACCGTGTTTAGTCACTGAGTAAGGTTTTTATGTATTCAATGTTTATTTAGTATCTCCGTTTATTTTATTTATATTATCCTTATGGTTTACGTAAGTAGCATAAAAGTTCATACAACGGCACAGATAAAGTAAGCTTCCAACACTCATCTAAAACGGTTAGAAAATCCACTGCAAAGCTGGCAGTTATGAGGTTAGGTTGGTAAAGAAAGTACTCTAGCAGCTTGCACAGGGGCAGAACCTTCTCTCCGTGCTACGTCCTTAGTGCAATAACAATAATGTCTCATTGTCCAGCTACTAGGTAGACACATGTGACATACAAAATTTAAACCATATGGTTAAGATTTAGAAGGTGACATACAAAATACCGAATTTTATAAAAAATATTGTCACATCTGGCTAATATTAAGCTACATATAGCATCATAGCATCGGGATTACTCAGCCAAGTTTAAATTCAGTGTAACACCAAATAAAATGTGGTAAAATAATAATAGTTACATGCTGATACCATATTTTAAACAAAGTATTACTTGGGAATTAAATTTGGCGAGGGGTTTCCCTACTAAAGACAAATAATAAGGAGAAGGTTTAATGTTTTGCTGCTGACTAGGTTGAATCAAGAAGAAAGCTAAAGGCATGAGAGTTTAAACATCTGAAAGATAATTTATCTTTTGCAAAGATATCTGGAAAACAACAAGGATTAGTTTGGTGGAAATTATGTGGATTTTATTCTGATGAATCAGAGGGAGTCACTTAATTTTTACACTTGTAAAATTATGTGCAAATAAAAATCAAAACCCTTCTGAATATAGTAACCCTATAAGATTTGCATCACTGCACATGACGATTTCCTTTAACAACATTCAGCTACTCAGCTATGATGAACAGCTGAAATTATGTCTCACACAGTAAACACCCACGTCATACAGTCAAAGGTCACAATGGCCAAAAGCATTAGTAACCTGTATTCTCAAAGGATATACTTTTCTATTTAAAGTTAAAGAGCCTACAAAAATTGTATCTAACCGCCGGGCCTTCCTAATTTTCTCTACCTTTTTCTTATTGAGACATAATAGATTATGTCAATAACTGAAGCCTGCAATAAATAACTTGTAACCATCAGTCAACTCACATCTTCTCAAATCTCCTCAGTTCAAAGCAGGAGCAGTAAATTAATATGCTTTGTAACAAATTTGGTTGATAACACTCCCCTAAACAGAGACTACATACACTGATAAACTGTGAAACATAATAAAAAAGATGCACATCTACTACATAAGTATTGATGGTAAAACAGAAAAATATTGTTTCTGCTGCTATGAACACCTGAAGATGATTAATATTTCATAAGACTATTGCATCAGTATGAAAACCTGAACTTTAATAAATAACTTTAATACACAAATATCCTTTGAGAGCACAAAGTCACAAAGACATTGTATATTGTATTTGGTCCTGTCAGTAAAATTATGTGTCACTTCACCAATATTGTAGTACTTAGGAATGTCAACGACGAGAACATAATATAATTAATAAGCTAACTTACTAAATTGATGTTGCAAGTACCGCCAGCAGTAGAGTCTAAGAGCTATAATTTCTTAAGGATGTTACTAGAAAATTACCAACAGGAAGCTACCAGTGCACTGCTACGGTTGGCTTCTGCTACAACTACTAAGTTGGGTTTAAAATCAACATTCAATACTATCACAATGCCTTCAGTGTGCATACAACAATTTAGCAACATTTTCAAAACCATCTCTGAGAGAGCAGTTGCACTGTATGATAATAAATATACAGATCATTATTTAAGAAGAAGGAATCTTGAGGCAGGCTTTTTCTGCGAACATTTTAATTATACAAGCTGGCCCTTCTTAAGCTCAAAAGATGCCAACATGCTTCATTTAGTAATGCCAAAGAATACTATCTCTAAATGACTTGCTCCATATTTATGAGTACAGTATACAGCACTTATCACATGCTAAAAAAAAACTTCAGTACATGTAAGGAAAGCCATTTTTGTGCTACCAATACTAATGAAACCATAACGAACAATTAGTATGACTCTTCCTGAGCTTACCAACTAAACAACAGTTATACCTTACCACAGGATTGTCTATATAATTAAAACCCAATAAAGAAAAGTTCCCACAACATACAATCCTTACCACAAAAATAGCTTACAGTTACATGTTAAAAGAATTAATTTTAGCAGTACATGATAAACAAAGGCAAAGACAAAACAAACTCATTTAAGATACTACAACTTGCGCAGAATCCTACACAATCAAACTGATCTGGGATTAATTTTAAAGACATGAAAGTCATGGAATATTTGTATCACTTATTGTTATCACAGATTGGTATACTAAAAGTAAATGGGTAGTACAGTAATGGTATGCTAAGTTTGAGTTCCTGCTACCAGAGTGAGAAATAATAGTCGCTGTGTGATATGCTGGCGGAAAGAGAGGATGTCAAGTTTTGATTACAATGCAAAATATAGTTAGAGAAAGCACACAAATTAAAAACAAACAAAACATTTAAGTTAAACATGAAGGGGAGTATAAAGAAATAACTACTGCACAGAAATATATAAATTACTATGCAAAAGAATAGAAAACTAAAGAATGGTTTGTAATGTATTAAAAAAATCTGCCAAAGAAGCAGTGATGAACTAATGTTTAACTATATTTTATAAATGTAGAGTACTGTATAGAGTACTAGAAGATTGGATGTTTATTTATGCATGTACTCATACAAAATGTGGCTTCTGTTCAGTGTATTTGGTTCTGTAATATTAATGTGCTCTTGAGAAGAGGTTTTGTAGACTACAAAATATCTTCAAATAACACACTAGTTGAGAAAAGCTACGTGCTTCTCGACACCTAAAATAGTGAGCGAATATATAGTAATCAAGTGTGAACAGAAGGAGGAATCAGTCAAGTGGGTGTTGTGGGTCAGTGCGAGTACCTCCCCTGGAGAGTCTTGACACGGGACAGGAGATCGACGTGCCCAGCTGAATACTGCTCGATCACATCCTTTACATCGTATGGCTTCAGTGCTTCCTTAAACTTACGCCGGGCCGTGAAATATTTGATCTAACCCAGGAAGGGAGACCAGTTAGAGTGATGAACTGTTATGAGAATACAGTAGTGATTTTCTGAAGATTGTGAATGATCTGAAAATTCTCGAGTCTACATACAGAAAAATATCTCTTCTATATAATTTACCTTTAATTTTTAAGATAAAATGATATCATATCTAATAGAGAGGAAACAATAATTTAAATGGTTCACAAGGTATACAAATTAAAAATTACTTATGACACATGTTGGCAAATTTATTTTCAGAGTCTAATATCAGTTGAAATAATTATTGTTAGCACTATTAGTCAAATTTGAGTTCACATTCAGCAGTAGAGGATAAAGCTAATTCATCAAGGCAAGATAAACTATCTTTTTCCTGAGATGCTAAATGTAATTTCAATGCTGAAAGGTACCTGACACAGGTGTTAGTAGTAATTACTTAATGTTGTAATTCTAGAAAGAGCCTATGTGGTGATGGTCATGATGGCTCACTCTGGTAGCCATGGGATCCAGTTGTTGATAACCCATTACTTATGACAAAGCCAAGGAAACAATGACCCAGCTTCAACCTAATAGACATAAGTCTTGGTGTTGGTTAACAGACTTCTGCTCGAACAATACCCAATCTCCGGAAAAACAAGGAACAACTAAAGAATGCAGTCAAGTAATCTGGTATTATATTCAGTTGTAACAAAAAACAATGGTAGACTTTGATTGGAGCAAGCTCATGTTTTCACTGGATCAAAATTCAGTGGAAAAACAAACAAAAACAACAATAAATTATTTAGTGCAATGAAATGCTACATTCTGAGTGACAGACACCTCAGTAGTTCCCCTGAGCATATGGCACCTTAGGGTCATGATTGACACCCTTAACCCTTAAAGTGCGCATCACGTCATATGACGTGCTGGATGTTGTTCCAGTCAACTGCGCATCACGTCATATGATGTGTTGGAGTACTACGCAAGATTTAAACAGCCCGCGGATACACGGGGTTCACCACACCTTCATCAGGGCTCTTGTAAACAGACGCCATTTTTAAAAAAATCGTGGGCCAAACTCCCGGGTGTTATTGGCCTCAGTATTGAGTGAACCAAGCCTGACGCACGCAGCATGAGCTAACAGCACTGCTGTTCAGCTTGTGACCACAGCATCGCCTAAAAATGCCAAATATACTTGTTCATGCTATTATGTAGCGATGATATTATTACAGAAGACCCCTGACTGTGATAAAACTGACCAGGGTTCTGATAATAGCAGGATTGTGGTGATATTTAGCGCTGTGCGCCATGGAGGGAGGAGTAATGCTGTGGGAGGGAGGGTGGTGGCGATGTCTTTTGACTGTGTGTGGCCACCTTTTATTGACTGCACTCAGCATACCAGCTTAGTGGTTCGCTATGGTGAACACAAATGTAGATACTTATATATAACGTGTGTATAGAGGGTATAAACAGCAAGAGAAGGTTGGGAGCCGCCATTTTGGTGAGGGCGGTGGCGTCGTCTGCACGACGCCACCGTGCAGACAACGGTGTTGTTTACTGGTTACCACGATGGTCTTTGGGCACCATACCAGTTTATTTGTACAAGTATGGTGAATAAAACAGGTAGATATTTATATATAATGTGTGTATATAGCGTAATAACACCACACAGTATTGTTGGAGGAGAAATATTAGTGCGTCCGGCCTTGAGGGCGGCCGCCGATCAGCTGACTGTGTGAGTAGCTACATCTTTGTGCCTTTACTCACCATACAAGCTTAGATGTACAGTTATGGTGAACAAAACATGTAGATACTTATATATAACGTCTGTATATAGTGAATAATAGCAAAAACATTA